AAAAAAAAAAAACAAACGCATGTAGTTTCATGATGCTCATAATCTAAAATTTTATACCTAAATTCAATAAATCAAAAGACAGAAAAGTGTTCATAGCCCAAAATATACTTCATATTGAAATTGAAATCAGAACACTCATAAACGATGTGGCAAAATACAATAATTTACTCGCGCAAAAATAAATAAATAAATTTATCAATAATCCACTAAACATCAACTATAAACTTATAATCACTCTGATTATCTTTCATACATGCTAAATTCCTCCAAACTCCAAAGGTAAAAACTGAGACTAAATTGCACATTACCATATAAATATTGCACATCAAATCATTATTGAAAGAACATTATAATTTATAACAAACATGTCAAACTAAAAAAACAACAATTCACTTTTAATACTTTTATTGTAAAACTATAAATGAAAAACAACAAACACAAGCCTAAACTTCAATACTCAAGCCCTGCCAAAAAAAAAATGAAAATAAATAAACCACAAAACTAAAAACCAAACTATATTCAATTGAAAAGCTTTAACTAAACTCTTTACAGTGGAATTAGTGTTGTAAACGAACCGAACCGAACCGAGCTTGGGCTGTTAGAGCTCGAGTTCGTTTACGTTCGAACAATGTTCGTGTTCGTTCGTTTATTTTTCGGGCAAAAAATCGTGTTCGAGTTCGTTCGTTTAATTGTTCGTCAAAGTTCGAGTTCGTTCGTGATCGAATAATTTAATACATAAACTTTTTAAGTACGTTCGATTAACTCAAAATTTGTTCGTTCGAACTCGTTCGAACTCGAAAAGAAAAGAATAAAATAAAAATAAATTTATATATTATATTTTTTATTAAAAATATTATGTAAATATATAGAAAATAAATAAAATTACATTAAATTTTAGATTTTTTAATAAAAATTTTATGTAAATATATAAAAAAATATATATTAAATTAATGTTCGCGAACATAATCGAACATTTACGAACGAGCTCGTGTTTGTTCGATTATTAAACGAGCCTAATTTTGTGTT